AACTATATGATATTTTTGAGCTGAGGAATACTTGATTAGCTTCGAAGGAATTCATAAATAGTATATATATATTTATGATAGTTAATTTAATTCTGCTCATCATTATTAATCGAAATTCTCGATTGTTTCATGAAAACTTTAAAACTTCCAAACTTTTAGTAGATAATAAAAACGAAAGAAAAATGAAATAAAACAGCACAATAATTAAAAATAAGATTCAGTGAAAATGAAATGATAGAAACAACAATAAGATTGCACTGATGAAGGTACAATAAAATAAATAAATATAAAATAAGATAAAGAGAAATACAATGCAATAAGATGAACCAATAAAAAACGTAAGATGGATAAAACCAATTGAAATGAAGAAAGACATCGCAATAACATATAAATACAAGAAGCGACGGAAAATGTTTAATATCAACAACTTAAAAAAAAAAAAAAAAAAAAAAAAAAAAAATTCAGGAATTTTATAGGCCGTTCATGCCACTGAGAGACAAACCACAAAATAAATTATCCCATTAAACGAGTCCTCAACAAACCAAGCCCAACATAATAGGAGAGGAAAGAGAAAAAAACAAAGAAAGAAAAGGAAATTCTTAAAAACTCGCATTTGCTATTCGGACAACGTAAATACCGGAGTGCGAATAAGGAGCACCTGGACGCGGCTCCCACAGCGACGCCGCGAACAGCTGGGCGACGTAAACAAGCGATTCCGGGAGAGGTCGTCGTTGTCGTCGTCGTCTTCGACATCATCTTCGTCATCGTCGTCGCCTTCGTCATCGTCATAGTCTTCGTCGGTGGCGGTTCCTTCCTAATCTTCTATTTTTTATGTCTTTCTTTATATTTTTTGTGTGTTTTTTGTTTTCACTTATATCTCGTTTGCCTTTTCCTTTTTCCATTTCTTTTTCCTTTCCTTACTTTTATTTCTTTTACTTTTCTTTTTTTTTTTTAATTCTTCCTTTTCCTTTTCCCTTTTCCTTTTTCCTCCTAATTTTTCATTTTCGTTTATTTTTCCTTTCCTTTTTATTTTTTCCCTAACTTTTCCTTTTTTCCATTTCCCTATATTCTTCATTTTACTTTTATTTTTTCTTTTCCCTATTCTTTTTCCTTTTTTTTTCGTTGTCTTCCCTCTTTAATTTTTCTTTTTTCCTCTTAATGAAAGAGGGAAGAGAGGGGAAAGGGAAAGAAGGTAGGAGGAGAGAAGGAAGCTGGGACGAAAGGAGGAAAAGGAGGGAAGAGATGGAGAGAGTAAGGGAATGAAGGAGGAGAGAAGAAAGGAGGGACGAGAGAGAGAGAATGAGGGAAGGAGGATAGTGAAGGGAAAGCAGGGAAGAGAGAAAAAGAATGAAGGAAGGAGGGAATGAAGGAGGAGAGAAGAAAACTCAGAAGAAAGGAGGGAAGCGAGAGAGAATGAAGGAAGGGAGTGAGAGAATGAGAGAAAGGAGGGAAGGGAGTGGAGATAAGATAATAAGGGAAGGGAAAGAAATAATAAGGTAGGGAGAAGGGAAGGGAAGGAGAGAAAGGAGTGAGTGAATGAGAGAAGGAGGGGAGGGAGTGAGAGAATGAGGGAAGGAGTTCCCTCCAGGCGCCGTGACTCAGGGCGGCGAGGACTCACGACTCGTGAATGAGTCGTGAGTCGCAATCCTTTGTCGAGGTGATGAGGAATTTACTGAGAGCAGAGGTGAATTTTTTATATCCTTATTTTCTTTCTTTCTTTCTTTCTTTCGTTCGTTTTTTTCTCTCTTTCTTTCTTTCTCTCTTCCCTTCTTTCTTTCGATCTTTCTTTCTATATTTCTTTCTTTTTCTTTTTTCTTATTTTCTTTCTTTTTCTTTCTTTCTCTTTTTTCTTTCTATATTTCTTTCTTTCTCTCTTTCTCTTTCTTTCTTTCTTTCTCTCTTCCTTTCTTTCGATCTTTCTTTCTATATTTCTTACTTTTTCTTTCTTTCTCTCTTTCTTTCTTTTATAGACCCTGACCGTAGACCGCCGGCTGTCCAGGGTGTCATGTTTTTTTTTTTTTTTTTCTTTCTTCTTTCTTTTGTCTTTTTTTTTTTGAGTATGTTTAATCTGTTTGAGTGTGCTTTGCATAAATCTGACAATATGTGTACATGAGGTTGACTACAATTTGTATATGCATAGTAAGTTTGTAGAAGGCAGATTTTTTTATGGACTAACTATTATAGATAAAGTCATTGCACGGCCTTTAGTGTGATAAGATACGTCGACATGTTTACGTGGTTTAGCAAGGTTGTCTGCCTTGTAGTTTGTGAGAATTTTTGTTGGTAGGTTTTTCAGCTCCCTCTCTCTGTATTTTGTCTTTGTAACTATCAATATCTGTCTCTGTTACTGTTTATCTGCCTGTATCTCTCTTTCTCTCTTTCTCTCGCTCTCTTTCTCTTTCTCTCTCTTCTCTCTTCTCTCTTTCTCTCGCTTTTCTCTTTCTCTTTCTCTCTCTTTCTCTCTCTTTCTCTCTCTCTCTCTCTCTCTCTCTTCTTCTCTCTCTCTCTCTCTCTCTTCTCTCTTCTCTCTCTCTCTCTCTCTCTCTCTCTCTCTCTCTCTTTCTCCTTCTCTCTCTCTCTCTCTCTCTCTTTCTTCTCCTCTCTATCTCTCTCTCTCTCTCTCCTCCCTCCTCCACCCTCCTTCTCTCTCTCCCTACGTCCTCTCCTCTCCCTCTCCCACTCCTTCAACTCCCTCTTACCCACGTGTGTTTAGTGCAAGAATCTGACGGTTGCAACGCGAATGCTTCTTGAAGTTTACCGGCAAGGCGGGTCGGATCTTACTTGAAGGGCAGGAGGCTAGGCAAGTGGCCAGAGGGTCAGATGAGGTCAGGCGCTAGAGACAAGGCTAGTCAAGGTGGAGCTGGAGCTGGAGTGGAGGAGTAGAAGTAGAGGGGTGGAGGTGGATGAAAAGGAGGAGGAGGTGGAGGGGATGTGGGGGAAGAGGAGAGGTAGCAGCAGGAGGAGGAGGAGGAAGGCAGCGTGTGACCTTGAGAATGTTACTAGGGTAAGTCAAAGGTCAAAGAGAGGTTATAAATAAGGATCAGTCCGATATGCGAAGCTGAGCCTCGCCCGGGCTATGCGGGGAGCCCGGCCCGTGCCGACTGATGCCAACTCGACCAAGTGTATCGGTTGTGCTGACGCGAGAGAGCTTCGTCCTCCCCCACCGTGCTGCCCAGCCTCAGCGGGAACCTCCAGCCGATAATTGCAACTTCTCGCCCCGCCCCTCGGATGGGAGGCCGACACGTTACCGCTGTACTACCGCGGGGGCTAGAGAGGGTATCATGGGTCATCCTGTTTATACTTGAGTGTCCCCGTGGAAGGAGTGGGAGGTCAGGTGTCACCCCGGGGATGAATTTATTTGGTATGTCAGTTCTGATCTGTCGTTTTTTAATTTTTTACTCTTCTGCTTCTCTCTCTCGAGACCAAGTACAAAAACAGAACAAATAATAAGAAAAAAAACAAAGGAATATTAAACCAGCAAAGAAACAAAGAAAAGAAACCAGGATATTTTTTAAAAATCTTGAAATAAACCAAACCAAAAGCCAAACATGCATAGAAACAAGCCACCCAAAGTCAATCCGATCTTCCAGCGAAAACCTCATGATTAAAACCTCATTTCGAAAACCACATGACAAAAGCCTGATGATTAAAACCTCATTCCTTGCGACGAAAACCACAAGACTAAATTTTCAGGACTAAAACCCTAATCCTCATGACGAAAATCTCACGGCAAAAACCCTCTCTTTCTTTTTCTCTCTCACTCTCTCTCTCTCTCTCTCTCCTTTCTCTCTCTCTCTCTCTCTCTCTCTCTCTCTCTCTCTCTCTCTCTCTCTCTCTCTCTCTCTCTCTCTCCTCTCTCTCTCTCTCTCTCTCTCTCTCTCTCTCTCTTCTCCTCTCCCCTCCTCTCTCTCTCCTTTCTCTCTCTCACGTTGTGACGTCACTTCCGCCCGTGACACCGAAAGAACGCGGACAGACGAACAGGAAGAAAAAAAAGAAAAAAAAAAACACGGTCTTTTCCTCGTTCTTGTGGCTTCCCTTGACCTGGCTTGAGGAAAGAGGACGGCTGAGTAAGGTCACACGTTGACCTCCAGCTGATAGGGGCTGGCGTGTCTTATTGGGACATACGATAAGGGTTATTATTGCTGTTTTGTTGTGTGTGAGTTTGATTATGATGGTGTGGGATTCGTTCCTTTTTTGGGTGTGTTTTTGATGTTTGTGTATTGTTTTATTTTTTTGTGTATTTGTTTTATGTGTTTTTTTATTTGTTTTTATGTTTTTGTTTGTTTTTGCTTGTGTGGGTTTGTTTGAGATTTTGTGTATGCCGCTGAATGTCTTTAGTGAGGGGTATATGAGTCATTTTTTGTGCTTGTTTATTTTTGGGGTGTTTTTGCTTGTTTACAATGTATGATTTTAACGTTTGGTTTGTGTGTTGTCTACGTGTTTTGGTTTTGTCCATATGTGTGTTTGTTTATTATGATGTGCTTAGGTTTATGTGCGTTTTGTGTTATATATGTATATATATATATATATATATATTATATATATATATATAATATATAATATATATATAATATATAATTATATATATTATTATATATGATACTGGATGTGTATTTCTATAGAAGGCATTTTATTTTTCCTTTTTTTAGAAATCATCTTTTATTATTATTTTTACTGATGCCACATGTTACTTTTTTTTTCTAAGAATAACATTATTACAGAAGACTTTCCACATTACAGCCACAGTCATCGCATCACACGCTCATGATTTGAACCTCATGACTCTAAAAGTGATCCTCATGACATATATTATTATCTCTTGTTGCTCTGTATTCTCCCTGCATTTGTTTTATTCTTGTTTACTGTAATCATCCGCCATTGTTCCGTTTACCAGCCTCTTGAGCCACTGTCATGAATAACCAAGTTTCTCACATTGGCCGTCCGCCACGCCCACCTCCCCTCCTCGCCCGCCCACTGACACCCTCCTCCCTCCCCCCCAGGCTGTTACGATGGTAATGGCTCTTCTTACGCGGGCGCCGCCGCCGTCACCCTCTCGGGCCGCCCCTGCCTCTCCTGGGACGACCCCAGGATCAACTCCCTGCAGGGGCGGGCGGCGCGGGCGAGGAACTTTGACCTGGGCCTCCTGGGCGCCCACAATTTCTGCAGGAACCCCGACGGAGCCCAGGCGCCCTGGTGCTTCGTCGGGCCCGAGGCGGCCGAGCCCTGCGACGTGCCCGCCTGCGACGCCGGCAGGAGTGTCCCCGCGACCGGTAAAGCCCGAGGCGCCGCGCCCGCTGCCTCCCGCGCGCCGTCCCGCCGCCCGTGCGCCGCGGGAGGGAAGCGGGCCCGTTCGGCTTCCTTTCCAAGATTCCACTTCTTTGCACAGTTCACGCACGATGCACCTCGCAAGGGCAAACCATGCACTTGGAAAGCCGAATTACCTCTTTTTGTCTCAAGAAATTAAATCCTCTAAGGCGTGTCAGGAGCAAGATTATTTTTTTCAGGATTAACATCATTACGAATTAATGTTGCAAGGAAGCACAAGCGCAAAAAGCTTAATTCCTGATACGAAATCGCCTTCACTTTTTACAAAAATGTCGATTCTCCCACAAGATTCTATTTCTCCTTATCTTTCTAGTGAAGCTTCCTCTAACGCCACTATGTCACCATTTTGTGCTAATATTGTTTGGCTTTAACCCTTCTACGATCCATTCGCTCTCACCTTCCTTGGACCGCAAAGGATTTTGATTATCCGACTGAATGACAATCACATATTCAACATTAATAAGAAAAAAAAATCATCCAGATATTTGTAGTCCTCTTTATGACTCTCTTCATAGTCTCACTTGCAAGTATTTCTTCACCAGCAACAACATTACAACTTTATCAACGACAACAATTCAGGATTGTATTCTTACCATCAAATACTCTCATACAGCATGGTCGTTTTAGTTTATTTATTCGTTTATCCCATTATTCTTTATCTTGAACTATCTAATAGATACTTGCACAATACAGGTTTTCATGAAATATACCAACTATTTTTTATTCATCTTATATATCATATATTATCACAATTCTTTATTACTATTATCATCATTATTTATTCCTTATGGATCTGCTTCCTTACGAACGAACTGACCACTTTTCCCTCATCGCAGAAATGACCCAAAGGTCTTCAACTCTCCTTCGTCCTCTCAACTCGGCCACACGACCCGCCACCTTTACCACGACTCCTTCCACTTCGCCCACGACCAGCAGAGCCACGACGACCACGACGACAAAGGTACGTGAGTTCATTTAAAGAGTCGGAACCCGTGAACGAAGCTTCGAAACAAGTCGGAACCTGTAAAGTAATGATCGGTTTTGCTTCGGCGTTCGAGACAGGTTTCGAAACGCTTTTTGGGGGAAGGTTTTTATGGTAGTGGAATATCCCGGCTCCTTTCTTCAGCTTATTTCTGGATTGTATTGTGGAAATAATTTGGGAGGTGTATGTGGAAAGTCATCTCTCTCTCTCTCTCTCTCTCTCTCTCTCTCTCTCTCTCTCTCTCTCTCTCTCCTCTCTCTCTTCTCTCTCTCTCTCCTCTCTCTCTCTATCTCTATCCCTCTCTCTCTCTGTACAACCCTCCTCCCTACCTCCCTCCCTCCTTCCCCTCCTTCCATCCTTCCCTCCCCCCCTTCCATCCCTCCAACCCTCAACTCCACTCCCTCCCCCCACACTACCCTTCCTCCCTCCCTCCCACAGCCCTCTCACCTTCCCTTACTCACCGTCCCCTTTGACCCCCAGATTCGGTGCCAGCCTGGGGAGTACACCTGCGAGAACGCCGGCGGGTGTGTCCCCTCAGAACAGGTGTGCGACGGCGAGAGGCAGTGTCCCAGGGCGACGATGACACCTGTGCAAACGTTTCTTGCAGGTACGTTTTTTTGGTGTTTTTTTTTTTTCTTTTTGGTTTTGTTGTTTTCTTTATGTTTTTTGGGTGTTTAACTGTTTTTTTTTCTTTTTGTTTAGGTCTTTTGTCCCATTTTTTCTGCTAATTGAAGATTAGATCCATAACGTGAAGGTTTAACGAAATATCACTAATGCGTTTTTTTCTACATTTATATATTTGGGTTCCTTGTCTTTCTTTTTTTCTAAATTTATTCAAATTTCCGTAATTGAATGACAAATGTATTCAGTAGCTTCATCGTTTTACAAGGTAAATTACCTTAAAATGTCCTATTAATTCATCACTGATTGCCTTCTTTGTTTTCCAATGTTAATTCAATATTTTTCCTATCTATTTATTAAATCATTTGTTCTTCGGTCTTTTCCTAGTTAAGGGCGGCAGGTCTTTGGAGTTCTTGAAATCTTTATTAAGTCATTTTCCTCCATCGGAATGTTTTCTTTGGGTGCGTCTTCCGTTGAAGAGAACAGAATTAAAAGACCCGTTTTTTTTTTTTGTTCTTTAATTGCAAGGAGCGAGGTTTCCAGCCGCACTTTTTCCGCATTTTTGTAATTTTTCGCGATGACTAGCAAGAAGAGAAGGAAGGATTTAATTAATACGATACTTAGGTCAGTTTCTAAAATTTACGTTTTTATATTTTTGCACACCACTTGTAATGTCAACCAAGAGATTATGCTTTTTCTAAATTTATCGAAGAAAGTTAATTATTGATAGTTCTCGGAGATTGATATGGAAACATAGGAATGTAAGATTTTTTCTTTTTTTCCACTGTAAGTAATATGGTTTGAATGAGATGCGAGAGGAGGGGGGTGTTTGATCAATTCCGTTCCGACGTTCCCAGAACGGAAGACGAAGCACCAACAATGCGGACAGGGGAAATTGCAAAAGCGAGAAAACCACCGTATTATATTTCTTACCTTGGGTGTAGCGGAAGAAATACATTTCCCTTCTGGACTCGGACGATTTTGAAGGTCATTCGACCCCCGATGGCGTAGACGATCTACCATCTCAGGTCAAAAAGCTTCCTTACCACGAAGACATTCTTATTCCTTATGCTCCTTATGATATATCTATCTATATATGATGGCTTAAAAATATTCGATCAAATCTGGTCTAAACAATGCAAGGACTTTCATTGTGATATTAGATAGCATATCTTTTTAAGTAATTTACTGTATATAACGAGAAGCTTATGAATACATTTGCTCTATTTCTTCATAGGAAATCTTTTTGAATAAATTTAGAAAAAAAGAAATGCATCAAGGAACCTTCAAATATATAAATGTAGAAAACATAACCGTCTTCATTAGTGACTATTTCGTCTTAAACCCTACGTATGATCTAAAACTTTTTCTCAATCTACTAGCAGAAACAAATGGGACAAATGACCCTAAACCAAAATACGAAAAAAACAGTTAAACACCCAACCAAACACATAAAGAAAAGCAACAAACCAAAAAGAAAAAAAAAACACCAAAAAAACGCTACCTGCACAGAAAACGTTTGCACACAGGTGTTCATCGTCGCCCCTGGACAACCTGCCGCACTTCGCCGTCGCACAACACCTGTATCTGAGGGGACACCACCGCCGCGTTCTCGCAGGTGTACTTCCCCAGGCTGGCAACCAGAATCTGGGGGTCAAAGGGGACGCGTGAGTAAGGGAAGGTGAGAGGGCTGTGGGAGGGAGCAGGAAGGGTAAGTGGGAGGGAGGAGTGGAGGTTGAGGGGGAAGGAGGGATGGTGAGAGGGATGGAAGGAGGGAAGGATGGAGGAAGGGGAAGGAGGGAGAGGCAGGAAGGAGAGAGGAAAGAGAGGTGGGTTGTACAGGAGAGAGGGATAAGAGATAGAGAGATAGAGAGAGGAGAGAGAGAGAGAGGAAGAGAGAGAGAGAGGAGAGAAGAGAGAGAGAGAGAGAGAGAGAGAGAGATGACTTTCCACATACACCTCCCAAATTATTCCACAATACAATCCAGAAAATAAGCCTGAAGAAGGAGCCGGGATATTTCCACTACACCATAAAAACCTTCCCCCAAAAAGCGTTTCGAACTATCTCGAACGCCGAAGCAAAACCGATCATTACTTACAGGTTCCGACTTGTTTCGAAGCCGTTTTTCACGGTTCCGGACTCTTTAAATGAAACTCACGTACCTTTGTCGTCGTGGTCCGTCGTGGCTCTGCTGGTCGTGGGCGAAGTGGAAGGAGTCGTGGTAAAGGTGGCGGGTCCGTGTGGCCGAGTTGAGAGGACGAAGGAGAGTTGAAGACCTTTGGCGTCATTCTCTGGGGGAAATGAGGTAAAGTGGTCGTCGTTCGTAAGGAAGCCAGATCATAAGAATAAATAATGAATTGATATAATAAAGAATTGTGATCAATATATGAATATATAAGAAGAATAAAATGTTGGTATTTTCATGAAAACCTGTATTGTGCAAGTAATCTATTAATAGTTCAAGATAAAAGAATAATGGGATAAAACGAATAAATAAACAAAACGACCATGCTGTATGAGAGTATTTGATGGTAGATACAATCCTGAATTGTTGTCGTTTGATAAAGTTGTAATGTTGTTTGCTGGGGTGAAATACTTTGCAATGAGACTATGATAGAGTCATAAAAGACTACAAATATCTGTGATTTTTTTTGATTATGTTGAATATGTGAATTTGCATTCAGTCGGATAATCAAAATCCTTTGCGGTCCAAGGAAGGTGAGAGCGAATGGATCGTAGAAGGGTTAAAGCCAAACAAAATTAGCACAAAATGGTGACATAGTGCGTTAGAGGAGCTTCACTAGAAAAAAAGGAAAAAAATTTAAGGAAAGAAAATGAAAATCTTTGGGGAGAATCGACCTTTTTGTAAAATGAAGGCGATCGTACAGGATTAAGCTTTTTGGTGCTGCATTCTTGCAACATTATCGTAATGATGTTAATCCTGAAGAAAAAAATCTTGCTCCTGGACCACGCCTTAGGAGGTTTTTTCTTTGAGACAAAAAGAGGTAATTCGGCTTTCCCAGTGGCATGGTTTGCCCTTGCGAGGTGCATCGTGCGTGAACTGTGCAAGAGAAGTGGGAATCTTGGAAAGAAGCCAGAACGGCCCCGCTCCCTCCCGCCTGCGCACGGGCGGCGGGAACGGCGCGCCGGGAGGCAGCGGGCGCCGGGCGCCCGCGGCTTTACCGGTCGCGGGGACAAACCCTGCCGGACGTCGCAAGTGCGGGCACGTCGCAGGGCCTCGGCCGCCTCGGCCCGACGAAGCCACCAGGGCGCCTGGGCTCCGTCGGGGTTCCTGCAGAAATTGTGGGCCCAGGAGGCCCCCAGGTCAAAGTTCCCTCGCCGCGCGCGCCCGCCCCTGCAGGGAGTTGATCCTGGGGTCGTCCCCAGGAGAGGCAGGGGCGCCCGAGAGGGTGACGGCGGCGGCGCCGCGTAAGAAGAGCCATTACCCATCGAACAGCCTGGGGGGAGGAGGAGGGTGTCAGTGGGCGGGCGAGGAGGGAAGGTGGGACCGATGGCGGACCCGGCCAATGTGAGAATTGGTTATCGTAATGACAGTGGGCTCAAGAGGCTGGGTAAACGGAAGAATGGCGGATGATTACAGTAAACAAGAAAAAACAATATGACAGGGAGATACAGAGCAACTAAAGATGATAATAATATATGTATGAGGACACTTTTAGAGTCATTAGGTCAAATCAATCAGACCGTGTGATGCCGATTGACTGGTGGCGCAAGTGGAAGCTGTATTCTGTTCTTTAGACCAACGTCATGTGGCCATCAGTAAAAAATACATAAAAAGATGATTTCTAACAAAAGGAAAAATTAAATGCTTCTATAGAACCAACATTCCCAGTATAGATATACATATATATATAATATTATATATATATAATATATATATATTATGATATATATATATATATAATATATATAATCATATATAGAAACAAAAACCGACATAAACTAAGCACAGAATCAAAACAAACACACATTGGCAAAACAAACTACGATAGACACACAGTCAACCACAACGTTAAAATCAATACAATTGTAACAAGCTAAAAACACCCAAATAAACAGCACAAAAAATGAACTCATATACCCCTCACTAAAGACATTCAGCGCAACACAAATCCTCAAACAACCCCACAGAAAACAACAACATAAACAAATAAACCATAAAATACACAAAAACAAAACAAATACACAAACATCAAACACACACCAAAAAGGAAAGAATCCCACACCATCATAAATCAACGTCACACACAAAAAACAGCAATAAATAACCCTTATCGTATGTCCCAATAAGGAGAACACGGAGCACCTTCAGGGCAGCGCCTATTCAGCTGGAGGTCAATCGTGTGCCTACTGCACCGCCCCTCAAACCAAGGTCAGGAAGCACAAAGAACGAAGAAGAGGGTAGTTTTTTTTTTATTTCTTTTTCCTTCCGTGTTTTGTCGGCGTACTTGGTGTGGGTATACGACCGAGCAAGCGTGAGGCAAGAGAGTATAGAGGTTAAGGAGAAGCGGCGGTGAGAGAGGGGATAGAGAAGGATAGAGATAGAGAAGAGGAGAGAGAGAGAGAAAGAGAGAGGCGAGAGAGAGAGTGAAGAGAAAAAGAAAGAGAGGGTTTTTGCAGTAGATTCGTCATGAGGATAGGGTTAGTCCTGAAATTTATTCTTGTGGTTTTCGTCGAACAGATGAGTTTAATCATCAGGCTTGTCATGTGGTTTTCGATTTAATATATTGTTCGCTGAAGATCGGTTGACTTGGGGCTTGTTTCTATCGCATGTTGCTTTTGGTTTGGTTAATTCAAGATTCTTTAAAAATATACCGATTCTTTTGCTTTGTTCTGCTGTATAATAATTCGTGGTTTTTTTTTCGTTATTATGCCAGTTCTGTATGTGTACTTGCGTCTGTTCACTAGAGAGAGAGAGAGAGAGAGAAGAGAGAGAGAGAGTATGAGAGAGAAGAGGGAGAGGAGAGAGAAGATGAGAGAGAGAAGACGAGAACAAGAAAAGTAAAAAGAACGACAGATCAGCAAACTGACATACACGATAAATTCATCCCAGTAGACAAGACCTCCCACTCCTTCACAGACACTCAAGTATAAACAGAATGACCCATGATATCCTCTGCTACCCAGCCCGCGGGAGTCAGCGGTAAACGTGTCGGCCTCTTCCATCGAAGGGTCGGCGAGAAGTTGCAAATACGGCGAGGTTCCCGGTGGAGGCTTGGGCAAGCGCGGTGGGGAGAGAAGCTCTCATCCGTCAGCACAACCCGCATAACACTTTGGTCGGTGAGCAATCACGTCGGACACGGGCGACGCACCTCACGGGCTCTCCACGCATAAGCCCCGGGCGAAGGCTCTCAGACTCGCATCTATTCGTGCACTTGATCCTAATTTATATGACCCCTCCTTCCTTGAAACCAGAAACCACCTCCCAGCTTGACTTACCGCTAAGTGACCAACTTCTCAAGGCATTACACGCTGTCCTTCGCTCCTCCTCCTCTTTCTCACTGCTGCTACCCCTCTCCTCTTCTCCTCCACATCCCCACCATCGAACCATGCCTCCTTTTCATGCCAGCCTCCACCCCTCCGTAATTCTACCTCTCACCTGCTCTTTTCAACAATGTCCATACAAACCCTCTACGATCTACCATCCCAGCTCTCAGCTCCACCATTGACAAGCCTTTGTCTCTAGCGGCTGACTGCATCTGCACCCCCTGCCACTTGCACGCTGCCTTGCAAAAGTCTATCTGTCCGTAAAAACTTCCAAAAGCATTCGCGTCTGCAATCCGTCAGATTCTGCACTAAACACACAGAGAGTAAGAGGGAGTCCGCAAGGAAGTGGAAGGACGTAGGCAGAGGACGTATAAGGAGAGAAGAAGAGGGGTAGGAGGAGGGAAGGGTGGGAGAGAGGGAGGGTGGGAAGAAAAGATAGAGACGGAGTATAAGAGCCGAGAGAGAAGAGAGAGAGTACTTAGAGAGCAAGAGAGAGTGTGTATAGAGAGAGAGAGAGAGAGAGAAGAGAGCAGAGAGGGAGAGAGCAGAGAGGAGATAGGGGAGCGGAAGAGACGCGAAGAATGAGACGAATAAGGAAGCAAATCACACACACACACACGGATTGACTAGCAATGTTGGATAGGAGACCGAATCGATCACTTATCTATCATAATTCGTATAATATAATAAAAGATATTATATATCCATCCTCTCCTGCTGGCCTCTCACTTATTATCCTTCTACGAGTATGCAAACTCGAATCCCTCCCTCTCTACCATCATTAAAACGCATTTTCTTCCTCACCATCTTCTCCTTTCTACAGGAGTTCGAGGCAAGATTCGGGAAGACGTTGCTGGAGCGTGTGGTGCTGGTGGTGCTGCCACGGGCGGAGGTGGGCGTGTGTGCCAAGACGTGCATCGACAACAAGCTCTGCCGAGGGTTCATTTACGATGAGATTTCGAAGCAGTAAGTGAAGCAGCCTTTTTTTCGAGTGAGATCGTCCGTTTTTTATCTATTTGGTTATATACTAAGACATTCATTTATCTCTTTATTTATTTGTTTGTTTGTCAAGAAGTACATCGACAAGCTCTGTCGAGAATTCATTTACGAAAAGATTTCGAAGCAGTAAGTGAGACGGTGTGTTTTTCCAACGATTTATTTATTAGTTCCTGTATTTGTTTGTTTGTGTGCAGAGATGTTTATGTATATATAGTTGTTTGTGTAGCAAGTCATTTATTTATTTATCCATTTGTTTGAATGCCAAGAAGTACAAACTCTGTTCAACAAACTCGGTCGAGGGTTCATTTACTACGGGAGCTCGAAGCAGTAAGTGAAATGGCGGATTCTTATTTTTCGAATAAATATTCATTTATTCATTTATTTGTTTATGTGCCAAAGATAACTATTTATTGGTTTATTTGTGTGTCCAAACACTGCTTTCTCTATTTATTTATTTATTTGTGTGCATCAACTAGTTCTGTCGGGGGTTCATTTAAAACGAGATCTCGAAGCAGTAAAGAAAGCGGCGGATTTTCATTGATTTATTTGTCTGTCTGTTTCGGAGTACTAAGGAGATTGTCCATTTGTTATTCTCATTCGTTGATTGACTTTGCTGTTATTTACTTTATCACATCATTTCATAATTTTAGACAAGCTCCCTTCTGCACCTCCCACCCACCTACCACCTTCCATCTTTCCTCTCCTCCCTCCCTCTCTCCCACACCATCCCACCCCACCAACCCACCCACCTTCCCTCCCTCCCATCTAACCCATGCCATTCATCCCTCCCCCCCACCAAACTAACTAACTCCCTCCACTCCTCCCTCCCTCCCTCCCTCCCTCCCTCCCTCCCTCCCTCCCTCCCTCCCTCCCTCCCACCCACCCACCCACCCACCCTCCTCCTCCCCCCATCTAACCCACCCCTACCCCTCCCTTCCTCCCACCCACCCACACCACCCTCCCACCACCCACACCTTCCTCCTACCACCCATTCCTCCACCCACCATCCCTCCCTCTCTCCTCCCTCCCATCTAACCCACCCCCACCCACCCTTCTAACCCCTCCCTCCCTCCCGCAGGTGTTCCCTCAGCACCAACGACGTGGTGAGCTCCGGCCTGGTCCCTTCGAGCCGCGAGGTCTTCTACGAGCTGCGGTCACGGAGGAGCGTCTGCGGCACGAGGCTGCGGTGCGGGAACGAGAAGTGCATCGACAGGGCGCGGGCGTGCGACGGCGTCGACGACTGCGGCGACAACACGGATGAGAGACAGTGCCGCGCGCCCATGAAGTACGAGACGAGGCTTGTGGGCGGGGTGGGCGCGCACGAAGGCAATATACAGGTGGGTTTGTGTAGTGGGCGGTGAGGTGGGCGTAGAAAATCCTTGGCCAGGAGGGCGGGCGGTGGGCGGTTGTGAAAATAGGGGAGAAAAGGAAGATTAAACGTAAAATTATTGTTTGTTTGTGCATTTAGGATAATCTGTTATTAATTGATAGATCATATTCCTATTTTAAATGAACAGTTGTAGATTCAGGGGCATAATTACCATCTAATTAACAGCGCTAAAGACGAAACTTTCAAAGTATCTCACAAAGCGACATTGTCCTACACATCCATAGAACCAAAATGCCCTTTATTTACTATTCATTACGCTCACCCCCCCCCCCTTTCGCATGCCCGCAGATCAAGGTGGGCGGCGAGTGGCGTTGGGTGTGTGACGACGGCTTCGGCTTCGAATCGGCGGATATTCTGTGCCGCGACCTCGGCTTCTCCGGCGCAGAGACTTTCACGCGCAACAACCGATTCGGAAACAGTGACAATAGTGAGTTTGTGAGGATTTGTTTCGTCTCTTTTTTTTCTCTCTCTCTCTTTCTTTCTCTTGTTTAACTCTCTCGTTCTCTGTCTCTGTCTCTTTCTTTCTATCTGTCTTTTCTTTTCTCTCTCTGTCTCTTTCTCTCTCTCTCTCTCTCTCTTCTCTCTCTCTCTCTGTCTCTCTCTCTGCTCTCTCTCTCTGTCTCTCTCTCTCTCTCTCTCTCTCTCTCTCTCTCTCTCTCTCTCTCTCTCTCTCTCTCTCTCTCTCTCTCTCTCTCTCTCTCTCTCTCTCTCTCTCTCTCTCTCTCTCTCTCTCTCTCTCTCCTTCCTCTTCCTTTTCCTCTTCCTCTTCCTCTCTCTCCCAATATACATACAACCAAAACCATAAAACCTACCGAGTGCAACGTCCCCCAATACCAAAACACTGGACACCCTTCACAAGCACCTCAATACAAATCAATTTTTAATCGCGACCCCCCCCCCCAAGGTAATCAATTATCTAGTAATAAATCTTTCCTCCTCCTTCTCACTTCTTCTTCTCCGCCTTCGTCAGGTCTGCGTCGGAGTGAACCCAAGTTCTGGCTGGACAAAGTGTCTTGTTCGGGTCGCGAGGGAACCTTCTTCGACTGCCCCAACAGCGGCCTCGGAGTCCACAACTGCGGCCCAACGGAGGTCAGTTTTTAAATGTATTGATTGCGTATTGTATATGGATATATTTGTCTTTTTTTCAAGCTTTGTTTTTTTGTTTTTGGTTTTGTTTTGGTATTTTGTTTGATCGAGAGAGAGAGAGAGAGAGAGAGAGAGAGACAGAGACAGAAAGAGAGAGGGAGAGAGAGAGAGAGAGAAAGGGCAGAGACAGAAAGAAAGAAAGAAGGAAGGAAAGCGAAGCCAAAAGACCCAGAAGACAAGTAACACAAATGATAACAACCCATCCCATGCCCCCCCATCCCCCCTCATCCAGATCGCGGGTGCCGTGTGCCGAACCAGCGCCTCCTTATGTGACGTGGACAAGTTCCTGTGTGGCTCCGCTCGCCTCCACACCTGCATTCCGAGGAACCAGGTGTGTGATGGCTCCAAGGACTGCTTCGACGGCAGGTGAGTCGCGGGAAAGGAGATGAGATAGTTTTTTGTTGTTTTGTTTTTGTTTTTAACTGCTTCTCTTTTCGTTCATTTGCGATGATGATACTTTTAGTGATGGTAACGATAATTATGATAATAATGATGGTAATCATGATAAGGATAAAATAGCTACAACCACAGTAATTGTTATTATCATGACAATTACAATAATCACAATATAATGAAATAGACGGAAACATACTAATCTTCCCTTGCCCTTAAAAACTTGGACATCAACCAACTTAAAACCCATTTCCTTTCGCCTCAACTCAACGCCCTCTCCTCCGCCCGTCCCCTCCACGCCCACAGCGACGAGGCGGATGAGCTCTGCGACGACGTGGGCGTGACGCGACTCGAGACGAAGACGGAGGTGCTGAAGGACACGACGTCGGGCACCGTCTTCGTCAAGCACCAGGGCCGATGGGGCACCGTGTGCGATGACGCCTTCGACGATAAGCAGGCGAAGGTAAGGGGGGTTGGGGAGGGGAGGGGGGGATTGGAAGAGATGGGAGATGGGGATTGCGAAGGGGGGGAGGGGGGATGGGAGGGGATGGGGAGAGGGGGATTGCGAAGGGGGGGAGAGGGGGATTGGGAGGGGATGGGAGATGGGGGATTGCGAAGGGGGGAGAGGGGATTGGGAGGGGATGGGAGATGGGGGGATTGCGAAGGGGGGAGAGGGGGGATTGGGAAGATTGGGATGGGAGGATGGGAGATGGGGGATTGGGAGGGGATGGAGATGGGATTGGGAGGGATGGGAGGAAGGGTAGGGTGGGTGATGGATAGGCGGGAGAGAAGGGGAATGGGATGGGTGGTAAGGAGATAGGGATGGGAGGTGGATTGGGGAGGGGGAAGGGGATGGGAATGGAGGGATTGGGAGGGGATGGTGGGGGAGTGAAGGGTAGGGGTGGGTAGGGGGAATGAGGGTAGGAGGTGGGAGGTAAGGAGATGGGATAGGGGGGGGTAAGGGGATAGGGATGGGAGGTGGATTGGGGAGGGAGGGAGGGGGGTTGATGGGGTACCGTGTGAGAGGAGGGAAGGATCAGTAGGATAAGGGAAGGAGGGACGTGGATAGTTTGAAGGATGAAGTGGGATGGAATGGGAAGTGGATAGGTAGGGGGGCAGGCAAAGGTTGGTGGGAGTAGGGAGAGGGGGTGAGTGGGAGGGGAAGGGACAGGGATGGAAGAATGAGGGTTGGGGGATGGATGGCATTGGGGAGAGAGGGGAATGGGAAGGAGGGAGGAAGGGAGACGGGAAGGAGGAGAGAGAGGAGGCGGAAGGAAGGAGAGAGAGGACGCGAAGGAGGAGTAGGAGAGAGAGGAGGACGAGGAGGGAGAGAGGGGAGCAGGAAGGACGGGAAGGAGGGAGATACCTCTAAAAAAATAGAATACAAAATCAAAATTCCCGTAACACCTTTAACACAAAACCCGCACGCCTCCCGCAGGTGATATGCCGCAGCCTGGGTTACGACGGTGGATGGGCGGTGCCATACCCGCGGGCGTTCTTTGGGCGTGGCGTCGGCGAGGTCCTCGTGGACGAACCGGAGTGCAAGGTGAGGCCAAGAGACTCAAGTTGTGAAGTTGGGAATTGAAGTTGTAGTTGTTATAGATGATAATTAACATTATTACGATTATTATTATTATCGTTATTATCATTATTGTTATTGTCATAGTTATCATTATTATTAATAATATTATTATCATTATTTTCATTATTGTTGTTGTTATTATTATTATTATCATATTATTATTATTATATTATTATTATTATTATTATTATATTATTATTATTATTTATTATTATTATTACTATTATTATTTTCATTACTGTTGTTATTATTATTATTATTATTATTATTATTATTATTATTATTATTATTATTATTATTATTATATTTTATTATTATTATTATTATTATTATTATTATTATTGTTATTATCATATTATTATTGTTATTATGATAAAAATTATGATTATTATTGCCCTGATCTTGCCCTTCCCCTTCGCCCCGCCCATGACTAATCCCCGCCCACATCGCAGGGTCACGAGTCCTGGGTGGGCGCCTGCAGTGGCCTGGTTTGGGGCGTGACGGATTGTGACCATACAGAAGACGTGGGCGTACTGTGCTCTGATCAGGTGAGATTTTATCTATGGGGTCGTTGGTATGTTGTTGATGGTGAGTTTGGTATTAATATTACAAGCAGTAGTTGTAGTAGTCTACGTTATCAATATTATTAACACCATCTTTATTATCATCGTCATTATCGTCATCGTTATCGTCAGCATCATCGTCTTCGTCGTCATCATCATCATCATCATCATCATCATCATCATCATCATCATCATCATCATCATCATCATCATCATCATCATCATCATCATCATCATCATCATCATCATCATCACCATCATCATCACCATCATCATTATGAAATCTATTTTCATTTCCCTCCGTCTTTTTGAGCCATTTATTCCGTAAACCAGATTCCTTGCATACAAAAAGGAGTCCAAAAAGTTATATTTTTCAAATCACCCAAACTGACCCTAACCAGCGCGCATTAAGACCAAAAAGAAATAGATCTGTAGATTTATGACATTCTCCAAACATCATATTGCATTTCTAATTCTTCATTTCCCTCTTTACTAATTCATTTATCTATCCATCCACTTATTTAACTATTCGTTTGACCCCGTACTAGCTGGAGCTTCGTCTGACTGGAGGCCCGACGAAGAGCCAGGGCCGCGTGGAGGTGAAGCTGGCGGGCAAGTGGGGGACGGTGTGCGACGATGACTTCGACGACTACGACGCTCAGGTAAATTTCGCTGAACTCCGGGTGGTGAGAGTGGTGATGCCCGAGATTTTATTGTTATCGTTTTCATCATTATTGATATCAGTATCATTGTTTTCATTTTTTTATTGTTGTTATGAGAATAAAGCCTCAACGAAGATGCAAATGCACGCCCTTTCCTTCCCTTTCTCATCCTGCGCTCCGCCTCCCTCAGGTCGTGTGTCGGATGCTAGGTTACCAAGGCGACGCCGTGGCTCACAAGAACGCGCGTTTTGGCCGTGGCTCCGGACCCGTCTGGCTGGACTCCCTGGACTGCACGGGCGAGGAGTCCGACCTCAGGCTGTGCAAGAAGTCGCCTCCGGGAGCCTCGGACTGCGTGCACTCCGAGGACGCGGCGGTATCGTGTTACGGAACCAGGTATTATGGGTTGCGGTTTCCAGCTGGGTGTTCTCTTGTGGTGGGTTAGGAGAAGAGGGTGCCGTATTATGGTAAAGATTTTGTAAGTAACGTCTCATCACTGATGTGCGCAAGGCCTTGTACAACTACTTATATAAGAAGTCTATATAAGTATAGTACTTGCATTGACCCTACTTATATAGACCTTGGGTGTGCACGCTTGCTCAGGATTGCGTCATTGGTACTTTTCTTGGAGGTCCAGGGTTCTCTTCACCAAGGCTGTCAGATTAGATTTTGCCCCGACGGCGTAAACATCTCGCTGGAACTGAGCTGAGGCGGTGAGTGACGCGTATACCACGGTCAAAGCTCTTCATGATGTTTGCGGTGGCTGGTGTTCAAACAATAGATCGGCTCATTGATATTTGTCAACATAATCTACCGAAAGACAAAGGATTT